GGAAAACAATTATTTTTCCAAGAAGAAGGAAACATGGCCACCCCCAACACAAAGTCAAACGAGATCGACACAGACAAGCAATCCCAATGCTAATGCCACCCCAACCAGGGGTATCCAGGTCAAAATGTTCGATGCAAACTCCGGTAAGTTCCTTGAAACTAAGACATTTTAATATAATTCTAAGACTAACCCCAAACAAGTAATCTGAGATCATTCTACCAAGATAAATAATTGTTCAAAAAAGAATACCCCCCTCAAAGAGTCATCCCACACAGGAACAACCCAAGACGAGCACAAAGCGGAAGGCGGGTGTCACGCCCCAAACCTTCGGAGGCGTGTCCGGCACCCGATATCGTACCGGCCCGAGCGAACTACTCTGTAATTCATTTTTCTTCTTTTGTAACTATTATGGGTCAATATGGACACAACTCATAATGTATAACTATAAGTGGGCAAACGTTGTATCAATGAACCATCGTTCTTAAAACATGAATACATATGAGCCGTCAGGGACTCTGACATACTGTAAAAAATGAACCTCTATCTATAGAGCCTCTAAGATTATTCGACATCAAATGGGACAGGGCCCCTACCTAACCATAAGTTTGTAGCAAAACTCTAACACGATGATTTATAGACTCGGTTGCACTCCGAATGAAGTGGAGTCTTACTGATCATTCGCTGAATGCTAACCTCATCTACTATAAGGGCTCATCAAACTGATTACCTATACCTGTAGGCATGAATGCAGCGTCCACAACAAAAGGGCGTCAGTACGACTAATGTACCGAGTATGTAAGGCAGAACTGAAACATAACAATAAATCAACATTAATTAAAGAGATATAAGAATCAACCTGAATTTCTGAGGTGCCACCATATATGCATATATATATATATATATATATAAATATATAATGCTTCTCTTTGAGACTTTATCCATATCGTAACATGACTGCCCAATTGATCAGTGGTAACTGCCCGACCGGCCGTCGTACGGTGGTAAATGCATGACCGCTCGACCGGTCGTAGTACGGTGGTGGTCGTAGCACAGTGGTAAATGCATGACTGCTCGACCAGCCATAGCACGGTGGTAAATGAATATGCATGACTGCCTAATCGGCCATAGCACGTTGGTCAATGAAGATGACTAATATTTACCTCAAACCCCGTCTAATCAATTCAAGTCCAAAAAAGGACAGCAAAGAAACCCAAAAATGGATCAACACATCAAACCCCCAATCGTCTTAACCTCCACTCTGCTGCTACCGGACCACACGCTGACATCATGGCTGGAGCTGGCACTACAGGGCTAGGGACTGTGCTACGATTTTCATTTGGGAAATCAACCCAACACCCTCATCATCCAAAACTCGGCCCATCTAGCAAGGATAACAATGGAGGCGTTGTTGGCATCCAATTTTGTCCCCTCCATTCTTCCGAACTATTTCTTTAAGCTTCTAATATCACTAATAATGTAAGAGTAGTTATTTTACCATTTTAGCACAAACTAGACCTAGTTATTATTATTTACTTACTATCACTATTACTAGTATTATTAATGTTGTTATTATTATTACCACCATTATTATTATTTTTATTGGTATTATTATTATTATTATTAATGATATCTAACGTCATCATCACTATCGTCTTTATCATTCATACCTTAATAGTATTTATTGTTACCTTTCACGAAAAGTATTTTTATTTTTTTTATCTCACTAAGCGAGAATATTTTTTGCACGAAATTATATTTAATAAATCTTGCCGCATCTTACAATTAGTATTTTATTTAAACATCAGTAATTATAATTAGGCATAATAAATAAGTTACTTACTTGCTTATTTTTAACATTAATATTATTGTTGATTATTAGAAGCCCAATGAATTTGGAAAGAAGAAAGGAAATTCGGCCAACGAAAGGCCCAAGATTATCCTTTACAAGTAGCCCATCCTAGTAATTAAATGTCTTTAGACCTGATCCTCCAGGCCCAATTTGATTTAAGAACAGCAGTGTCCCAACAAAGCTCAATTAGCTTTTAGACTATTCCATTAAAATAAAATTACTTGGCTCTTCACGTGATGACTTTATGTTTTAACCAAGACCCTACAAAGTCTCCTTACTTTTTAATATCTTTCCCTTTTATGTCTCCTCTTCTCTGTACTTTTTTAGCAGAAGGGAATCACCAAAATGGTGAAAATGATGCTGTCATCCTTGCCACTTCAACGGCTCTTCCTAACGTTCAAATTAATTCATAAAATTCAAATCCCGCTTAATAATTGAAACCCTAAAATTTTCTTTATAAATACCAGCCTCAGAGAACTTTGGAAAGAGCCGTTGAAGTGGCAAGGATGACAGCGTCAACAAATCCTGCTTAATAAGTGAAACCCTAGAATTTTCCTTAATCACGTCAGAAGCTTGCCTCGCCAATTTTGAGTAAGTATTTTGTCTCTCTCTTGTATCTCGTGACTCCATATCTCACACACCTGTCCTTGAGGATATTTGGTCAAAGTAAAACGCCAAATAACTTTTGAGAAATCAGAGTTTTTCTTCTGAATAAGGAGGATCATTATTGAAAGCTATGAGATTCTTTAAATAGCTCTTTAACTATTTGTAATTTGAAATCTCGCTCAGACTTTTATCCAGAACCCAGACTTTTCTCCTATAAATACTACTGTTTTCTACAAGTGAAGGAGAGACTTTTTTGGCTGCCGCTCGAGCATATACTATTTTTCGACTCTTACCATTGTTTTCTTCCCTTAGAAACTCTAAGAAAGAACTTTCAAACATTTTATTTTCTGCCTCGATGTACTTTAGCCGGGATAGAGGTGTTCGAATTCCCTTGGCTCGAGGTTCGGATCAGCTCAGAACGAGAGAGTAGATTCAAGATCGAAGCTACAGTTCACTGCCCACAAAAAAGTTAGATCTAAACCTTTATTGCTGTATTTATTTGTTTATTATCATATGGTAAAAATCACAATATAGGAAATCATTTGATATAGAAATCATGTCACTATTTCAATATTCTGTGTTAGGAATATTAGTCTAAGAATAACATTTCATAGCTTGAGAGTTATTTTAATTAAAGCAACTTTAGTGTATTATGAATATCTAGTCTTATTTAAAGTAGGATTATTCTATCGACATAAGTTTGTTTCCATTAGCTAATGATGATACGGGACTTAGTTAGTCTTTAAATACACTGAATGATTTGGGGTCTTAGTATATAAGTTAATTTGAACTATAGGTTTGACTTTGTTTCTCTATTTAACAAATGAAATAGATACATGTAGAGTTAGACACCAGCTTTTAAAATTCTTAAGTGACAGAAACCATGTCGTAAGTAGTAGAAATCATGTATAGTATACATTTTCTTAAATTCTAAGAGCTCTTCTCTGTTTGTTACCGTTAATAGTATGTACCCTAAGTGGGATCTTGTGCTCGTTTATTAGTACATAAGTATTAACCTAGTACCATGAATTTGTTGGTGTAGTTTAAAGACTTGAGATTATAAAACAAGTATGACCTATTCCTTTGTCCATTCCTTATGAATGTGTAAGAATCAATTTATGTTAAGTAAGAATTTGGTCTTTTGAGTCTTTTGGATAATGTGACATGTATTAGTATATGTTTTAGTATAACTTTGCAACTTATTTTCTCTATTTGATATCTTTCTTTAATGTTAAGAAGCATATGTTCCCCACTAACTTTTTTAGTTTTTCTTTATTTTCGCATGAACATCGGAGCCAAAGAGTTTCTCTTTGAGACTCAACAATGTCGTAAAATCGCATGGAGTCAGCAAACTTTTCATGTTCTCACCGCTAATGTAGCGACATACCGCATGGGATGCTGGCGGAGAAGCCAGTCAATTGTCTTTTTGATTTCTACGTTAATCACAATGTTGCTTCTTTGTGTTTGGTGACAGTTTAAATAGTCATATGTTAGAATCTTAATTGTTATGTGGTACTATATCAATTTAGCGGGGTGTTTAATTCTAGATAATAATAGCGATACTCATCATATCACATGGAACATAGCATCTAGACATAAGGATTTTAAATTAGTAGTTGGGGCAATAACAGACATTTCAAATGACCAGTTTTAAAAGCCGCACTTTGATTTTTTTTAACTGACTACTTCCTTTATTTGCTAAATCTAAATTAATTTTTGAAGATCAACTTATTGGTCATGACTTATTTGGCACCTAATTTTGTATCTAAAATTGTTTGAAATAGCTTGTGGACTTCTTCGACTACGTTATAATGACTTCTTCAAAAATATCTCTTAATTTATCCATATATACTTTGAACAAAAGGACAGTCTTTTTGAATGGTTTAAATACAGTAACGATCCTGATTACATTCAATATTTAGCTCTAGCCTTAATTAACTTTAATTCGATCAGTAAACCATTTAATATGGATCTTAAAGGGTACCTTAAAGACCTTCCTTTTAGAGTAATTGAACCCTTACCTAGAATCTTTAGGTTAAGTAGATCATTAACAGAGTCATACTTTATTAATTTACTTTAATCAATTTAGATTTCCTAATTCACCTTAAAAATAATTAGGCGGTGACTCTTTAACTTAAATCAAACCTGAAATTGCCTATATGTTTTACCTTACTTTAACCAATTTAAAATGGGGTATAACAACATGATGACTCTGCTGGGGAAACTAGGTTCTAACCATAAAAACTTAGGTTAATAATAAAAATTTATTTGTGTGTTTGTAATAATTTATGATGCTTGTCTAAATTGCCTTTATGTTTGTCTTATATAAATTGCTTACTTATTTGTAACGATCTGGTCGGTTGATTTGAGAGTTGTACCCCTGTTCCCCTATTTACTGCTCATTTTATACTTAATTGTTGCTATGTGACTTGCCGGGGTAGTTTGTTTGGGACCGAAAATATTTTGAAATGAGTTGAGACACTTAGTCTCAAGGCTGGAAGCTTAAGTTGAAAAGGTTGGTTGGATGTTGGCTTATGTGTAAACGACTCCGGAATGGAGTTTTGATGGTTACATTAGCTCCATTTTTTAATTTTAGAATTAGGAGTGTGTCCGGATAGTGATTTGGAGGTCCGTAATTGAATTAGGGTTGAAATGGCGAAAATTGAAAAATTTGAAGCTTTGGAAATTTAGAAGTTTGACCGAGTGTTGACTTTATGATTACCGGGCTTCGATTGGGGTTCCGAGCGTCATTTATGACTTGTGTGCAAATTTAAGGTCAATCATACATGATTTGATAGGTTTCAGTGTCGAAGGTAGAAGTTAGAAGTTCATAAGTTCATTAGGCTTGAATCGATGTGCAATTCGTGGTTTTACCGTTGTTTGATGTGATTTGAAGGCTCGGCTAAGTTCATATAGTATTTTGGGACTTGATGATATGTTTAGTTGAGGTCCTGGGGGCTTGGGTGAGTTTCGGATGGTTAACGGATCAATTTTTGACTTCGTGTTATGGCTGAAGTTTTTTGGTGTTTGTGTCTGGTTTCCTTGTACACGATCGCGTGGGAAGGTCCGCGATCGCGTAGGCTAGTTGGGGAATCTAAGGAAATTGTTCTATTCGATCGCCAGTTATGGTACATGATCGCGTAAGCTAGAGGAGTTAGTGCATCACGAATGCATGGGCTAGGCCGCGTTCGCATAGAGGAAGTGAAGCAGCAGCTGAGGTCACGCGTTGTTCTTCGCGATAGCATGAAGAGAGACGCGATCGCTTAGGTTGAGGGAAACAATTTTCGTGTTCGCGTGAGGACTGAATCGCTCGCGTAGTCTTGAATTTCTAGGCAGTTGAGTTGTGCTTCACAATCGCGAGGCAATTTCCACGATTAAGGACTCCTAGGCAGAATATTAAATCTCAAAAAATGAGGGTTTGAGTTTATTTCACAATTTAATTTTGGGAGCTCGGTAGGAGGCGATTCTTGGAGAGATTTTCAAGAGAGTGATTGAGGTAAGTGATTCTTACTTAGTTTTGATTAAGTTCCATGCTTATGTCTTTGATTTCATCATTTAATTAGCGATTTGGGTTGGAAAATTGGGAAAAAATTGCGGAAAGTTCTTAGGCTGAATTTTGGGTATTTGATCGAGATTTTGGTATCGAATTTGAGTAATTTTGGTATGGGTGAACTCGTGGTTGAATGGTTATTCGAATTTTATGACTTTTATCGGATTCCAAGTCGTGGGCTCGGGGGTTGACTTTTGGACTTTTGATTAAGAACAATGGAATTGATTCCTTTAGATCTTGTTGATTGTATCGAACTGTTTCTAACTAGATTCGAGGCATTTAGAGGCCGTTTTGCGAGGCAAGGGCTTGTTGGAGTGGAGTTCTGCATAGTTTAAGGTAAATAACACTTCTAAACTTGGTTCTGAGGGTATGAAACCCTGAATTATGTGTTATGTGGTTGTTGTTGAGATGACACACATGCTAGGTGATAGGTGTGTGGGCGTGCACCATAAAAATTGTGACTTGGTAATTATCTTCGAGAGGCTGCCGAACCCTTAGGAAACTTCACATTCTTATATTCTTATCGTGCGGATTCGGGAATAAACTTCTATTATTATATTCTCACATAGATGGTGAGGACATGTGCTACCGGATATGACAGACATCCACCAGTACCATCGGCTAGGACCACGGAAGGCCGGGATCGTTGTAAGGGCCACGTTAAAGGCAGAGATGAAGCTCGTACAACAGCTGAGTAACCTGCAGATCCACCAGTTGCTCCAGCTTAGGAGTAGGTTCTAGATGTGGTAGATCCAGTGGGGCTAGCTCAGGCACCAAAGGTGCCCATTGTGATTCCAGGACTTTAGGAGGTTTTGGCTCAGATTTTGATGGTGTTCACTAGCCTTGCTCAAGCGGTTTCTGTTCAGACCGTGCCAGCCACTTCTTAGGCCCGGGGAAGTACCTAGACTCCCTTCGCCCGTACTCCAGAGCAGGTGATGCAGGAACTTCAGACACCAGGGGTTCTACCAGCCTAGCCAATTGTAGTTGCTTAGACCCATGTGGTCCCATTATGACTGATGATGAGCAGAGGAGACTAGAGAGATTTGGGAAACTCCAGCCTCTATCATTCAGTAGGGCTGAGTCAAAGGATGCCCAGGACTTCTTGGATAGGTGCCAACAAATTCTTCGTATGTCGGGTATTCTAAAGACTAGTGGGGTCTCGTTCACTACTTTTCAGTTTACTGGGGTTGCCTTCAGATGGTGAGAGGCCAATGAGAGGTGGAGTCCAGTCGGTGCAACACCCCTTATATGGCATGAGTTCTCCGTTCTTTTCTTGGAAAAGTTTGTACCATAGACTCGCAGGGAGGAGTTGCACAGACAATTTGAGCAGGTATGTTAGGATGGCATGTATATGACCCAGTATGAGATTAGGTTTTCAAAGTTGGCTAGTCACGCAGCTTGGTTGGTTCCCACTAAGAGGGAGAGGATTAGGAGGTTCATTGATGGCCTCTACTATCAGTACCATTTTGTTATAACTCGGAGAGTGTATCAGGTGCTACATTCGACGAGGTGGCCGACATTGCTCGACGTCTAATGATGGTTCGCTGCCAGGAGCATGAGGAGAGGAAGTCTAAGAGGCCTCATGGTTCGGGTGATTTTAGTGGTGTTCCTTCTAGGGGACAGTCCTACCAAAGTAGGGCTCCTTATAGGCCCACTCAGATGGCTCGCCTAGTTCATCACGGTGCATCGCCCAACCATGGTTTGTATTGTGCTAGATTGTGTCAGTCATCTCTCAGTGCTCTCCCAGCTCAGAGTTCATCTCATGCACCTTCAGTTCAGGGTTCATCTTCACCAAGTTCTTCTGGTAGTTATTCTTGTTCTCGGGGTCCACTTCAGTATTTGCTGCCATTTTTCGAGAAGGGATGTTTCAAGTGTTGAGCGTTGGGTCATGTGAAGAAGTTTCCTCCCACTTGGGTCATGTGAAGAAGTTTTGTCCCGCCTTATGGGAGGTCCAACTCAATAGAGAAGTCAGGCCGCGACTTCAGCACCAGTTAATTCACCGCCCGCCCAGCAAGCTCGGGGTGGGGCCCAAACAGCTAAGGGTCGCCCAAGAGGGGGAGGCCGATCAGGTGGCGGTCAAGCCCGATTCTACGCTATTCCTGGGAGGCCAGATATTGTTTCTTCAAACACAGTGATCACAAGTATTGTCTAAGTATGCCACATGGATGCTTTTGTATTATTTGACCTTGATTCCACTTATTCGTATGTATCATCATATTTTGCTCGTTATTTGAATATGCCCTGTGAGTCCTTAGTTTCATCTTTTCATATATCTATGTTAGTGGGCAAATTATTGTGGATCGTATGTATCGGTCATGTATAGTGACTATTGGGGGAGTGGAGACTAGAATTGATCTCTTATTGCTTGGTATGGTTGATTTCGATGTGATCTTAGGTATGGATTGGTTGTCTCCCTGTTATGCTATTCTGGATTGTCACACTAAGACTGTGATGTTGGCAATGCGGGGTTTGCCGAGGATCAAGTGCAGAGGTTCTCTAGATTATGTTTCCAGTAGGGTGATTTCTTATTTTAAGGCCTTTGTGAGGGATGTGGATGTTGGTACCCCTACTATTGATTCTATTCCGGTAGTGCAAGACTTTCCGGATGTGTTTCCTACAGACCTACAGGCGTGCCGCCCGACAGGGATATTAACTTTGGTATTGACTTGGTGCCGAGATCTCAACCTATTTCTATTCCTCTATATCGTATAGCACCAGTTGTGTTGAAGGAATTGAAAGAGCAGCTTCAAGAACTTCTGGATAAAGGGTTTATTAGGCCTAGTGTGTTACCTTGGGGTGCACCGATTTTGTTTGTGAAGAAGAAGGATGGCACTATACGGATGTGCATCAACTATAGGTAGTTGAACAAAGTTACAATCAAGAACAAGTATCCTTTTCCGCGCATTGATGATATGTTTGACCAGTTTCAGGGAGCGAGGGTGCTCTCTAGGATTGATTTGAGGTCTGGGTATCACCAATTGAAGATTTGGGGCTCAGATATTCTAAAGACAATATTCAGGGCTCTTTATGGTCATTATGAGTTCCTTGTGATATCTTTTGGGCTGACCAATGCCCCAACAATATTCATTCACCTGATGAATAGTGTATTTCA